ACCTCTAATGCTGGCCAGTCTATTTCACACAAAGTTATAAGTTTTCCTGGTGTCACAGTAACACCATAATCTCCCTTAAATCCTTTCTTGAAATTTTTCAACATAGTTCCTAGCAGAGTGGGCTTACTTTGTGCCTGACCCATGCTTCCTCGAGACAACACACACACACCACAAAACAAAGAACGGGCAAAAAGGGTACACACACACTTCTATGGTTTACACCAAACCAGAATCAAAACCAAAATCAGAGTATCAAGAAATCCAAGCCAGCTCAAAACCAAAATCAAAGTATCGAGCAATCCAAGTCAAGTCAAAAACAAAAACCAAAGTGCCGGTACAGGCAAGCCGTGGGTGATCAGGCCACGCTTCCACTCAAATGGAGTGGGCAAGTTTCAAAGACCAGTCTTACCAACTTTCAGATGTCCAGACTCCAAGTGCCAGTTCCTTCCCGGTGTTCAGCCACTGCGTTGATCCTCCGCAGGGGCCTGCCATGTGCTGCTCTGGCGAGGCGGTCCACTGGGGCAACTGCCTACCAGGGAGCACTCTCAGGATCTGCGGCGCTCAAGCTGGCCAGAGTCCCCCGCAGGGATGCTCCACAGGGCAGGCCTGAGCCGCCTAAGGGGGTTGCCTCAACCCTCCGTTAATCACCTCGCTTCCTGGTCAGGGAACCAAGAAATGTAGCAGGACGAGCCACAGACAAAATCCCTCAGACACCGAGTTAAAGAAGGAAGGGCTTTATTCAGCCACGGGCATCGGCAAGCCTCCTGTCTCAAAAACCGAGCACCCCGAGTGAGCGATTCCTGTGCCTCTTAAGAGCTTAAAACTCTAAGGGGGTCCACAGGCACTGGTAATCACAACGGAACAGAACAGGACAGGGATTTTCCCAGTGCTTTTCCATACAGTGTCTGTAATCTATAGATAACATAACCGATTAGGTCAGGGGTCGATCTTTAACTACGAGGCCCAGGGTGTGGGGCCGGGCTGTCTGCCTGTGGATTTCATTTCTGTCTTTTAGTCTTTACTTCTTTCTTTGGAGGCAGAAATTGGGCATAAGACAATATGAGGGGTGGTCTCCTCCCTTATTAGCATTACTGAGTTTGCCTCTTGGTGAAGGCAGGGCCCGTAGACCTCCACTGTAAAAGCAGCTTTCCCTGTGACATTAAGAAAGAGCATTGCCTAGATCTATTGTGATTACGGTAATGGTAAATTCTGAATATTTTTAATATTAACTAGGGAAAAGATGCCCCACTCTGTGACTTCATCATAATACTAAGCAGTTCAGGGAGCACCCTCAGCAGATACGGCTGATCATCCTCAAGAAAGGACTATTAAAATTACTTATCATCAGAAGTCAGAGGAAAACAGAACAATGTAAGGAAACTTTAAACAGATAAATTAAAAAATAAACTATGAGTCCAATCTCATTTCTTCTACCTTCATTCTTTCTTCTATCTTCAGTTTCAATTCGTTTTCAAATCTCTTTCTAGATAACAACTAAATCTCATTAACATAAGGTTTAGGGCAGGCGGTGTCAACACTGTCAACACTTGTCTCTATAAAAAAATTAAAAAATAAAAGATCATACAACAATGGACTGAGACTCCAGGAACAAGCTGCATCGTCACTGGCTTGTGTCCTCTGTCAGAAAAAGCAAGCATCAAGGTCCACTTTTTTTTTTTTTTTTTTTTTAAGATGGAGTTTTGCCCTGGGCTGGTCTGCAATAGCATGATCTCGGCTCACGGCAACCTCCACCTCCTGGGTTCAAGTGATTCTCCTGCCTCAGCCTCCTGAGTAGCTAAGATTACAGGCTCTGTAATCCTGTAGTGTAATGCACCACCATGCCCGGCTAATTTTTGTATTTTTAGTAGAGATGGGGTTTCTCCATGTTGGTCAGGCTGGTCTCGAACTCCCGACCTCAGGTGATCCACCCACCTCAGCCTCCCAAAGTGTTGGGATTACAGGCGAGAGCCACTGCGCCCGGCCCCACTTATTTCTGTTGATTTGACTTTTCTTAAAAATAACTTTCATTTCTCCTGGAAGTACTGAATGTGAAGTATTAATGAGGGTCTGATTCAAACAGAAACATCTATTGTTTGTCACTTTCTACTCTGAACTGCCCACAGCCAGCCAGGAATCTGTGCTTCACAAACTGCCAGCTTTACAACTGTTTCCACAGAGGAAGAAACACACAAGGACAAAAGCACATTCGCCGTCTGGATACAGTGCAGTAGAAGTAATCAGGGTTTTGCCTCAGAGTAGGTCTGTAACTTTAGGAACCTGAGGTCTCAAACACAAGGCATCTAAATGCAGGAACCACACCACCACTGCTGAGCCACATTTGACCAAACTAAAGCACTTCTGAACAGAAGACATCAGATCTCTGCAGGGCTTTGCCAGAGAGGAGTGGCAACAAAGCTCACTTTAAAATAAAATCTATTAGCATGCACAATTTAGAACTCCCTGAAATAAAGAATTTCAAAAGCCTGAGAACTTCATCACTCTGTTAACTAAATATAGAATGACATTTTGCTCTACAGTCCTAGAAAGGCAGTAACGCGACCTGTCAGAGTAACTAAGACAAACACTGGTCAGTAATGAGGCATGATGTCAAATGCCCGTCTTTCCAGCTACAAACTATTTTTCTCCCTTTCTTTTAATAGTAATAGGCAACAAGCAAATAACACAGAACTTTTTTCAGCTAAAACAAACAAACGAACAACACTAAAATATAACTAGCCTCTTGTCAGGTGACAACACTAAAATATAACTAGCCTCTTGTCAGGTGAACTGACAATCTGTATTTAGTATAATCAACTTCAATTTTTACAATACAATCATCCTACAGTGAAAATATTCTAATTCCTTTTTCTTTCATCCATTAGTCTGATTTTTTTAAGCATTACTTGTGATTAAGATCTTCATTTAGAACAAATCGACTTTCACATTTTGAAGGAGCTAATAAAAACCTCAGGGACCTGTCCATTTTAAATTCTCTCCGTGATGCTTTGACAGAATTGACACAGTGGTCGTGGCAGGCAGTAGTGGTGGTCTGGCAACCAGATTCCTATGCTAACAGCCCCAAAGCAAGGCGTAATGGGGAACGGTATTATTTTAAAGTTGACAGTTGTACTACCATGTTTACGTATAAGCATTTTGCAAAAAAAGAGGGGGGAAAATAAAACTAACAAAATTGCATTTTACAGGGGATGGCAGAGCATCACCCACAACTGCTTTAGGTGCCACACAACACTGAAGAAATCTTAAGCATTATTAAGATCACTAGATCATTCTGGGTCTACTTTTTCAGTTACAGAACTTTTGCCAAAAAGAATAAGGAAAAGTAAAAGGAACAAAAATATTATTCTTAACAACCTAAATGAGAATCTTATATTCAATTAATTAAATGCTTGAATTTCTCCCTCTCAGGCCACCCTGGAGGCTGAACGCCTTGCCTTACATGTCAACCTGACAAGGGCAAAGAAAGAAGCACTTTTCATGTCATCGTTCACAGACTGAATCACAAAATCCTCCATGACTCAAAAAAGAAAAGTTAATACGTAGAAATCCATTCATTACACAACAGGGCTGAATGCCTACAATAACTTTTGATCAAAATGGTAACTTTATGTTCTGTGAAAAAACCAAGGGCAGTTTTGAAGACTTCTATAAACATGTCCAAAAATGTCATTAATAAACCAAGAAACACTTCCATACAATATACACCTAAAGAATCTTCTGCAAGTAAAGATACAATTCTTAAAGAAAATGATATGTAACAAAGAAGGATATAATTAAATAACAGGAACATAATGTAAAGATACAAAGTGAAACAGAACAGCATCAATTACACAAGGTGAAAAAAAATCCTTTTAGAAATTTTGTCAAGAAACTTATGTGATCCTGTGTTCCCAATAATAAGTAGTTTCTATTCCATCACCCTGGAAGAGCTACTTACAGCTTAGTCTGCAATAGGCTGCTTCTAAGGAGTGAGCTTTATGTACAACACTAACCATAATTTGTTAATGTCTTGATATCAAGCCGTTAAATATAATCAAGCACTGAAAACCACTCAACTCTGGAAAGTATAAAGTAATTCTCAACCCATTAGGAGAGTTTACTGAAGTGTCAAAGTCCTTCCTGCACACCAGGCCCAGACACAGAGGAACGGGCACTCGGTCGACTAGTGGCAGAAATGGGGAATCACTGGTCCTCCTGCACCTAAAGCAGTGGGAAGCAAATAACTTACCTTATTAAGTAAGGGGAAGGCACAGTATTAACAAGACAGATGCACTTAAAATTGTATGTTTCAAAACACTGGGAGGCTAGACCTACCAGATTCACTTCTGATCAGAACGTAAGACCTTTCCTTGACACTTACTGGACTTGAGTAATGTCAATGCAAACAGATTAGCCGGGCTTTGGGAAAATCTTGCAAATTTCCCACCAAAACCACACATATGGCAAAACAGATATCTTTTCATATTTATGAACATTCTAAGAAATATATAATTACGGAGTCATGGTGCTGCCAAATTTCTGAAATTTTATTTTATGTCTGTGCTCTCCTGAATGCCAGGATGAGATCTGCATATAGGAGAGTGTATGCTTTGAGATCAGACACACCTAATTGGGTTTTTAGTCCAGGCACCACTTCTTAGCAGCTGAGTTATTTTGGGAAAAGCTGAACTATTTTTACTCTCCTTGCCTAATAATCTGTTTTTTCATTCATAAAATGGGTGTAATTGTGTAACTTGCTTTATATGGTTGCTGGGACGATTAAATAAGATGAAACAGTTAAAAATTACACCAGATGCTTGCTCCAAACAGGAAGCAAATATTAGCTATTATTATTAAAATGTGAAAAAAGCTATGAAAAACAGTTATCCTCTATGGATGAAACACGTTAAAGCATTTAAAAATCTAAAGCTATCATTAGTACAATTAAAAAGATTCATATTCTAGTAAGACAGGGAAAGACATTTGACTAAGCAAAAACTTACTTCAAGGCCGCATAATAAAATGTTCCAAACCAAACACCAGAAGTTATTAGATGCACTGGAATCAGAACTTTTCCATACTGTCTAAATGTCTTCTTGAATCGTTGATAAAGACTAATAGATTTGTCTTGCAAAGGATCAGGCTCTTCCTTTTTTTCTGGAGTTCCCTGAGCTGTGGCACTGGATGAAAAAACCCTCTTGAATGAAACATGTTGCTTCCCTTGCTTATGGCGAAGGACTCCTGGTTGGGGTGAATGAGCATCCAATGGCCTCCTTTCCTTTGCAACATACTGGGCAGCAGATAAATTCAACCATTGTTTTTGAGGGCCTTGTACCAAAACCACTTTGGATTCAGCATTGTACAAAAGTAAAGGTCCCTTTACATTTTGACAGCGTCCAAAAAGACCAGCGTTATGTGGCTCCAAGCATGTCCTGCGTGCCAGCCGAGATACAGTCCGTGGTACACTCCACTGCATTTTGAAGAGTGTTGATAGGTTTCAGTTTCTATAAAGACAATTGTTTTAAAAAATTAGGTAATACTGAGGCTTCCATTTTAAATCAATTCATTTGAAAATCAATCATTAACCATCAGGAAGTAAAAAGAGACACTGCTACATACTCCACAAAAACTGATGTTAGGGTATACAGTTTAAGCACAGTGTAATTTTTAAATCTCATAAAGGCCAGGTGCGGTTGCTCACGCCTGTAACCACAGCACTTTGGGAGGCCAAGGTGGGTGGATCACCTGAGATCATGAGTTCCGAGACCAGCCTGGCCAACAAGGCAAAATCCCATCTCCACTAAAAATACAAAAATTAGCCAGGTGTGGTGGTGGGCACCTGTAATCCCAGCTACTCAGGAGGCCAAGGCAGAAGAATCACTTGAACCCAGGAAGCAGAGGGTGCAGTGATCTGAGATCGCACCACTGCCCTCCAACCTGGATGATAGAGCAAGACTCCATCTCAGAAAAATAAAATAAAATAAAATAAGCCAGGTGCGGTGGCTCACGCCTGTAATCCCAGCACTTTGGGAATCCGAGGCAGGCGGATTGCTTGAGGTCAGGAGTTCGAGATCAGCCTGGCCAACACAGCAAAACCCCGTCTCTACTAAAAATACAAAAATTAGCCGGGTACAGTGGCACGCGCCTGTAATCCCAGCTACTCAGGAGGCTGAGGCAGGAGAATTGCTTGAACCCAGGAGGTGGAGACTGCAGTGAGCTGAGATCATGACACTGTACTCCAGCCTGGGCAACAGAGTAAGACTCCGTTTCAAAAATAAAATAAAATAAAAATCTCATAAAACACATCATTTAAATATGATACGGTAAACTAGTCCAGCTGACACCATGGGGAATAATGTTTTGAGGCCTCTTATTCTATAGAAACAGTGTAGTACAGTGTGGGAAAAAATAAGATCTGGGTTCTGATGCTTTGGGGATACAATTCCACATAATTCCCTTTCAGACTCCAAGCCCAGGTCCACTACTAAAATGAAGATTACTTACAGGATTGTTACCAGGAACTACACAAAATTTCTGATGTAAAGACACTTTTGTAAACTAATGAGCATCATAAGTGTTATTTATGATTACAAATGTTGAGATCTGATGAACAGTTGATATAGCATTATTTACACTATAATGCCTTCAGACTGTTATCAAGTTATAAATCACTTATGCTATTGAATGGCAAGAAGAGATAGCCTGGTATTTATTTTCTTCCCCACCCCATATCAATGGGGGAAGAGAAAAAAGTGTACGGTGACGTCTCACTATTTGATCCGGCATCGGCACAGAACAAAGATTTACAAGACAAACAGACACAGTGGCTTGGGCTTGTGGTTCCAGCTACTCGGGAGGCTGAGATGGGAGGACGCGTGAGTCCAGGTATTTGAGGCTATAATGCATTTGCGAACAGCTACTTCACTCCAGCCTGGACAATACAGCAACACTGCAAGTCTTTTTAAAAAAAAAAAAAAAGAATCATAGAGACTTCCAGATAATTACTTAGCCTCTCTAGACAAAGGTTTTCCCAGTGGCAAATGTAACTACAGTAGCCACTGCCATATAGTCAATCAGTCCCCTTCCTTCAACATCAGGTGGTGCCACACAAGCCTTCCCACTCCCAACGCCAGCTCTACCTTACCACTTCTAACATGTTGAGAACAGACAATTTAACTATATCCTAAATAACAGAGTGAGATCTGAATTAGCACCCCAATAAATTAGCACTCCAATAAATACAAATACTCCATCTTACATGAATATTCTTTATCTGGTGTACAAAGTTGGCTGGCAAAATAAAAACTGTCATCGTATAAAAACATTCGTTAGTAATTACCCACCAATAAAAATTAATCCCCTGACTCATCCCTCCCTAATGAAAAATTAACATCAGCGCCTAACAGACTCTCACAGATAATCCGACAACAGTACAATTGAGTTGATAAGGGAAACTACAAGTCTTGCAAAATAAATAGGCCGCCAAGAAGTCTTTTAAAAAGCGATACTGGGCCAGGAGTGGTGGCTCATGCCTGTAATTTCAGTACTTTTTGGAATGCCGAGGTGGGCACATCACCTGGTGAGGAGTTCGAGACCAGTCTGGCCAATATGGTGAAAAATACAAAAAAAAATTAGTCGGGCATGGCGGTGCACGCCCGTAATCCCAGCTACTTGGGAGGCTGAGGCAGGAGAATCACTTGAAGCCCGGAGACAGAGGCTGCAGTGAGCCGAGATCGCACTACTGCACTCCGGCCCGGAGACAGAGGCTGCAGTGAGCCGAGATCGCACTACTGCACTCCAGCATGGGCAACAGAGGAAGACTCGTCTCAAAAAAAAAGAAAAAAAAAAAAGTGATACTGGGGACTAATTTCAGACAAAGCAGACCGCAAACATTCTTTGATTATCAGAGTTAAAGAGGAGCACTGTATAATAACAATAATGAAAAGAAGACATAACAATCCTAAACATGCATATACCTAACAAGAGAGGACCAAAATAAATGAGGTGAAAACTGACAGAACAGAAAGGAAGAAAGAAATCCACTTAGAGACATCAATACTCCGGTCAACAACCTTGATAAACCCAGCAGGCAGAATGTCTGTAAGGATAGAGTTAAACTAAACAACAATGTTAATCAATTTTATCTAATTGACATTTACATAATACTACATTTAACAACAGCAGAATATACACTCCCCTCAAATTCACATGGAACATTCAATAAGCAGACCCCATGCTGGGCCATCAAATATACTGTAACAAATTCTAAAAAATGAAAATCATGCAAAGTTATGTTCTCAAACTGCAACAGAAGTATACTAGAAACCATTAACATAAAGATAGCTGGGAACTCGCCCCAACCCCAATTATGTGGAAAATTAAACAACATACTTCTAAAAAAAAAATCTTCAAACTTCTAAAAAGAAATTTAAAAATACTTTGAAGTAATTGAAAACAAAAATACAACTTAACAAAATCTGTGGGATACAGCAAAGCAGAGCTTTGAAGACTAAACTTTGACCTTTTTCCTCTTGCCCAAATTCCTGTCTAACAGGTCTGGGGAGTCACACCCTGCAAACCATGAAATTTCATCAGAGGGGTTTTATTTAACCCTATATAAATGGCTGCTTTCCAACTGGACTCTGGCATAACTTCACATGACAGATAAAGAAGAAAATCAAAATATTTTACCCCAAAACATGCTTCTTTGCCCTATTTTGAAATGATCCTGCAAAGCCTTTTTTAAACTGTATTTGTAAAGACTCTATTAACATAATCAGAACCCCGCTTCCAGGTCTTCTCAATCCTGAAGTGGTTAACGGAGAGTCTAGCACCTTTTAAAGGTCTGAACCAGAAACATCTGCCATCTATTGTCTCTAAGGGCAGCCACCTTTGAGACTTCATCTAAGCATTAAGAACCTTGGTATCTACAACCCCTTATCTTAATTCAGACACTCTTTTCTATTGATTCCAGGTCTTTAGATAATAACTCTTCCAACCAATTGCCAATCAGAAACTCTTTTAATCCAGTTATGACCCATATGTCCCCACTCTGAACTGTCCTGCTTTTCCACATGGAACCAATGTATATGTATACCCGACCTATACTTATTGATGTCTTATGCCTCCCTAAAATGTTTAAAGCCAAGTTGTAACCCAGTCAACTACGGCACGTGTTCTCAGAACTTCCTGAGACTGTCTCAGACCTTGTCACTCATAGTTGGTTCAAAATAAACCTCCTTAAACATTTCACAGAGTTTGACTCTTTCATCAACAGCTTACAGGAAGAATGCACATATTAGAAAAGAAGATCTATACTCAATAAGCTAAGTTACCTCCTTAAGAAACTAGAAAAGAGGAGCAAGCAGAAAGAAATAATAAAAATCAGAGCAGAAAGCAACGAACATGAGGAAAAGAAAACAAAAAAATAATCAACAAAACCAAAACCTAGTTCTTTGGGAAAAAAATGAATAAAACTGATAAATCTCTAGCCAAGATAACTAAGAGAGAAAACAAATGACCAATATTAGAAATGAAAGGAGTCATAACTGATCCCACAGATACTGACAAAGTAATACAGGAATACTATGAATAACTTTAACTCGATGACTGTGAGAAAAGATCTTATCTGAGGAATGGAAGTATTTTTAACTACCAGGCCCAAAGAGACATTAAAATGAGACCGAAATCACGCCATACCTCCCCTCACCAACCCACCTCCTCTGAGTTGTGTATTCACCTCTTGAAACTGCTTGTTATTGCCGTAAGTAGCTACGAATTAACCTAATAATGCTATAATTCACAATCTATAGCTTCACAACATATAGCCAATAACTCAATGCTACCTCTGGAAACCAGTGAGAACTCCTGACAAGCAACTCTTTATTAGTTCATTCCTTGTCCCCCACAATTTGGCCTTTAAAAATCCACTTACTTATAACTGCTGCTAGGAAGTGTGTGTATTCAGGGCAACTTGAGTCTATGCTCCTGGGTTGCAATCCTCAGGCTCTGCCCAAATAAACTCTCTACTTAAAATAATTTTGCTTCAGCTTATTTCAGGTTGACACCCACAAATTTGATAACTTAGATGAAACAGACCAAGTCCTCAAAAAGACAAATTGCCAAAACCCACACAAGGAGAAACAAAAGACTTTAATAATCTTATATTCATTATTCATTAAAGAAATGGAATCAAAAATTAATAACTTTCCAAAAGAAAAAAAAAACCCAGGCTCAGATTATTTGACTAGTGAATTCTACCAAACATTTAAGGAAAACATCATACAATTCAGAAAACACAGGCAGAGAAGACTAACTCATTCCATGAGGCCAAAAGTGCCCTAATACCAAAACCAGCTACATATAATCCAAGAAAGGAAAACTACAGATTAATACCTCTTATAAACATAGAAAGTAAAGGCCGGGCGCGGTGGCTCAAGCCTGTAATCCCAGCACTTTGGGAGGCCGAGGCGGGTGGATCACGAGGTCAGGAGATCGAGACTAT